TACAGTCTGTAACTAAATGTCGACTTTTTTCCGCTTTTTAAAAGGAAATCACGAGAAATAACTAGCAAACATGATTATTTAGACCAGAAACAAATGATTGAAGCGATTTTTTGTCAATTTTTCGAAAATTTCAAAAATACCCTAAATCGTCACTTAAGTCGTTTTCGCATCCGCCCCTTCAAATGGATTATATATGTTTCCGATGTTTTCAAAGATCCAAACAGCCTGAAATTATATTTTTCTTTAGTCTTCGTTAAATTATTTCTTATTAAACCCTGATTGCTTAATAATGGTACTTCAACTCAATGTGTAAATCATCATTCAAGTCACGATGTAACTCTAAACAACAAAAATGGCAAAAGTAAAGATTAAAGTTAACACTTAAAGACTAATTTGAGTACCGCATAATGTATCATATATTTTATTAAAATGTGGTTTGATAACTTGAAAATGATTTTTACTAGATAAGTACATATTATGTCTATACGTTACGGAAGGTATCGGTATGGGTGAATTTTGATGCCAAATTGATACTACTTTTTAACATGACAAATGTATGTAAATTTGAAAAATTCGCCAAGTATTGCTCACTAGTCCTATGGAGCTAAAAATCTGTGTTAGTACTCCTGAAGTGTCATATTAACGGCAGATTGGTGCTTTAATATTGAAACGTTTTAAGTTTTTACAAACTGGCGTTTTAATTTCCGTGTATTCGATCCCCGAAAATTAGCATAATTACACAAGTCCAGAAAAAAATAAATTTCTCGAAAACAATAACATATTTTTCAAAACCAACTATATGGTTGTTCATGTAATAGGGTACCTAACTTGAAAGTATGAGCGAAATCGATTTTTCAAGTGTTGCCACAATATAGCTGATTTGTCTGGTTTTTGCTGACATTCACTCTTAACTGGCTTTTCAATGTCAAAATGAATAGCTCAGTCATCCATGCTGCTTAAGTGATTTTATACAAACTTCAAAGTTTGGACTTGGGGGGGCAGGGCGGGTGTTGTTTGCTTTCAAAACTCAGATTTTAAAGCCTAACCCTTAGCTAACGTTAACCCTAGACCCTACCCTAAACCCTAACCCTTCTAACCCTAACTGTAAATCAAGGAACCCTAGAACCCTGTCTCAACAAATTTCGATTCTTTGTTTCCTATTGTATAATCAAAACTATTTAGTAGTAATTAGTACTATTTGTTTTACTTTGAGTACTACTCTTTAAACGTAATTGTAATTTTAGTAGGTAACATGTCATCAGTTAACTGTCACCCGTCCCAAGACTTTAAACCTGTCTGCCCTGACACCAACATATTTGCAGCAATTCCCAAATCAGATCGTCAACTTAAATTACTTAAATATTCATTCCTGCACACAACACAATATTAAAATCTCAAAATATTCATAACAACAGTTTTTGGAGTAACCACATGCGCTTTTTATTTATTATGAGGAAAAGTATAACATTAGCCATAATAGTGTTTGTGATCCACGCGATTTTAACCTAAATATCTTTCTAAACATTGAAACCATGAAGATGAAATATGGCTTTGTTGACATCCCATGTAATTAGCACAAATACAATTTCAACATAAAAAAAATCTTAAGATAATTAGATCTTGTGTTACATTTTCCTAGAATATGAGAGCAAATGATTAAAATAATTTATGAGAATATAAATCGCCAAAGGTTTAACGTTGTTCTGGTTGGCACTTCTTGCCAATCAGACGCGCATTTCTTTCAATTTTTAGATTTTTTAAACATCTATATCTCAGTGAGTATCTAAGCATTTTGTGGAAAAACTTGGGGTTTTGCTCAAATAACCATCACCTTTGAAGAAATGAACTCAAAAATTAACTTTAGAATTCAATTTTAACTCGAAGATTGCGAAGCAATCGAAGAGTTATAGGAGGGAGATAGATGATGGTGTGTGAGGTGAGGTGGACTAGTTAATAGGTCACTTATTTTTTCTGTAAACATACTGGCATTTAGAAGTCCGTAACCAAGACGGCCAGGTGTTTTCATACAGAAGTGGCTTTTTAAACACACAAAATGTGATTTTTGAGGTCTGGACGTTCTTGTATAAGCTTCTTACCAATTAATCTGTTGATTTCAGAAGTCGTTTTAGGAGATATAGAGTCAATATGGCTCATAGATACGATGATTTCAAGGATTATTCCGATCCTTTCTCGATCGGTATTTGATGCCCATCGATTCATATAAACTTTAATATCCTTCGTAAAAAATCGATGCACGGACGAAACTACAACAATAAATCAAAATATAAATTTTAAACGGTCAGCATTCAAAGTGAAAGTATCATCACTTCAAACTAAGAATGGTGGTGTTGATAATTGAGGTCAAAAATGCTCAAAACCCAAAACTCGTTTACGCTCGTGGTTCCACTTGAGTTTTGAGCATTTTTGACGTCAATTGTCAATAAGAGTACAGACAATGGAAAACCGCCTGCGAAKTGTTAAGTCGATATTTAAATTATCAAATTCAAAAAAATTTCAAGTTCAATATTTTCATTTTATATATTTTTTGTCGAAATTAGACCATATCTGAACAAATTCTGAGGCTTCATACAGATTTATGTACACGGTATACTTGTCTAACAATCTTCGAGTTGTGTCGCCATTGGCGGCTTGATTTTGAATGCAAACAAACTAGCACGCCCACGACGCACTTTAAAAGTATATATGCGCGTGTCAGCTGTATATCGACCCCTAGTTATTCCAGCAAAGTGAAATATGATTGAATTCAGAGGTATCGGTATGGGTAAATTTTGATACTCATCTTTAATGAACAGTTGCGCTCTATATATTAGCTGCCATAAAATTAATGGTTATAATAATACAAAATTTGTCATTCAAAATTCGGCGATCAATTTCTGCATGTCTGCTTGTTTAATGCTGTATGTGATATTTAAAAAACGAGTAGGAATGTTTTATCGTGAGATATAAACATGAAGCCCAAGGCGATCTCGAGTGTTTTAAACGGCTTCAAAAACTCCAACACTAGTTTGAAACTGAAATCCGTTAAAATTCTTGGATAAAATGCCGTAAAAACAAATTTCGAGTTAAATGGGGCAAACTGATCATGTGGGAATCACTATTTTCATTATTATCATTCAAAGCACTATTTTCATCCCACATTGAATACGCATAAAGTAGAATAGAACTGTTGGCTGTTTACTGAAATTGGATGACATCCTGCATTGGTCAACCTTTGCTAGGGTCATGGACCTTTATATCTGATAAAGGTCACCCTTATTAATTAGTATTCTTTATATAAAGAATACTAATAAGGAGTGTTTTATCAGATATAAAGGTCCATGCATGTGACCAAATAGGCTGATTATATTGGCCTAATAACTCATTAATTATGTATGAGTTTTTGAAATTGAATTACCGTATTTACCCATGTATAAGCTGCCCTTTTTTTCAAAAAAAATCGTTCCCAAATCGGGGGTGTGGCTTATCTACGAGAAGACCTGTAAAAATGCCCGATAAAAACTAATTTGCATAAATTAGCATTCACGGTGCTACTTATAACTGCAGACAAGACATCAGTAATGTGATAAGTTTGTTTTACACGGCGGGAACAGAAATTTTAATCCAAACTTCTCAGTATTACTATAAATTCTCCGAAAGTCTAGCTCTGAGAAACACAAGTCAACAAATCAAACTGAAAAGTGCGTGGTTATTGAGCTAAAACGAACAGAGAGCATTTTCAATCGTTTTGTCTTGTAGTTGTTTTGGTAACGCGATGCTAATTTGCATTGTTCATTTTAAGCGACTTTGTCACACTTAAAGTGAAGAATCCAGGGTAAATATTTTGAATACCCGAGAAATAAGCCTAAGAAATTGTTCCTTATATTAAACAAATACAATCTGCTTTAATATTTTTTTGAAATACGAAATGGTTTCGGCATATCCTTATGTTTAGAAGTTTGGCGGCACGATGAGATTTATATCACTCAAGTTAATTACTAGTTTACTTTTAACTTTTGATTAAAAGACATCTCTTTAATATAGTATCAATTATCAATCTTAACAATTATGTCTCCAAGATCATCATACACCGCACGTTAAATAAACAGATTGTAATTGCATAYGAAATGCATGGATCWCGGAAATCGAGCAGCAGAAAAGCACTTTAAAATGAAAGAAAGCTGTGTTCGCAAGTGGCGATCAAAAAGAGAAAAGTTCCGTCTTTTCCCCCCCTCAAAAACGTTCCTAAAACTTGGGGTGCAGCTTATCTACGAGAGCGGCTTATATATGGGTAAATACGGTAGTTATGGACTGTACCATCCCCTCCCCCCAAACTTTAGCTTAGGGTTAGTTCCAGCATTAGGCAAGGGTTAGGGTTCCTATAAACTAAAACAGGGGCTAGAGTTCCTTGATTCAGGGTTAGGGTTAGAAGGGTTAGGTTTTGGGGATAGTGTAAGGTTACGTTTAGCTAGGGGTTAGGTTCAAAAATTCTGGTTTCAAAAGCAAACAACAATTAGGATTGTAAAGGAGACATGATTGTAGACACTTTTCTTTGAATTTGTGAAAATTTCAAAAAATACCCTAAAAATTCGCTTACACCATTTTTGTATCCGGCCCTTCAATTAGTCAAAACCGTATAATATTCGTATTCTATGTATATTACAATAATATTAGTTACTGTGTGCGCTTATTAGATCTTCTCATTGTTTTTATGTTGTTTTGTAAAATGTAACGTTTTTCATTCAGTTTTGATAATGGCTCGGTGAGGCGAAAGCTCGACAAAAATGAATAACTTTTAGGTTGAAGTAACGCTTACATCGTAATACAATAATATTATTTAATCCAGATCTAATAAGATTGCACAGGTGCTTAAAACCAATGAGGTTTCCCCAAGTGATGGCTAATTTCCTTGGTTTTTAGATAGTATTGTTATATGCGTTACATGTATGTGTGGTTTGTTCATTTGTTTCAGTCTTATGATTATTCATTTATAACTTTAGCAATACCTGTAAATTGTGATTTTCCTTTCAGAAAAATACTTGGAAATGAACTTTAATCCTGATACATTTGCAGTCTCCTGCTTAGTACATCCAAGTACCTATCTGAATAAAATATTATTGTGCAGTAAACAGGGATCCATGCAATTATGGAATATCAAAACTAAGTAAGCAATAATCAATTTATAGTTTACAACATGAGCAGCCTTGTTGTATGGGATATACAATCTCGAGATGCTATTTAGCATTGTCGGATTTCAAGTCAAGTGGCAACTGGGCAAAATACCCTAATTGGATAATCACAAGATAAGACTTACATAGGAAGAAAGCCCACGTTTAGAAATGCAAAATTTCAAAATTTGGCGTCAGTCAGTTCAATAGTGAACAAGTTACGGCCTTTCAAATATTCTAAAATTTCCAAAGAAATGTATGGGAAGCCGTGAATGTGTCCGCATTTTGACCATTTTCTGGACACATTCGCGAGATCATTTCTTTGTAAATTTTAGAATGTTTGAAAGGCTATAGCTTGTTCACTATTGAACTGATTTACATCAAATTTTGGAACTTTGCATTTCTCAACAAGGGCTTTCTTTCTATGTAAGTCTTATGTCATGACTATCCAATCGGGATTTTGCCCAGTCCCCACTCGGCTTGAAATCCGGCAATGCCCAATTTAATGCAATAATTATTAATCCCACATGGAAAGCAAGCCATCCATTGGATAAGGGGAATGCTGCTATCTGTCTAGGCTTGCTTCAAAACCTAGTGTAGGTCTATGATGCAATATTAAAACTGAGACCTTTGCTAGTGTTGGGTTGTCTTAATGGTGACGGCCGTATTGTAAATCAGATTTATAAGGTCAATCACTCGACCAAATAGGCCGCCGTTATTGGAATATTGGTTCATGAATTATTAATGAGTTTTATAAATTTGTTTTACAATGTAGCAGCTGTATACAGCAATATCAGAAAATATTCATAAGTAAGAGCTAGTTACTGAGAATAGAGGCATTATGCTTCATACTGTATGCCAATGTGCGAGGTAACTAACAAAATTAGTTTCCAATTCACAGGGTTTTTACAAAAACTGAATAGGCTAAATGAATGTTTTCTTAGTTGGGATTCAAAAAATGGAATCCTCTCCTCTTGAGATTTTTCTATGGCCTGTTGATATTAGTTTCCTTTAAGAAAACCTGGTCATGTGTGAGCTTGCAATTGAAATTTGAATATGGTTATCAAATATTCTTAACAGTAATTCTGAAAACGATGTTGAACAGTGCTTATGATTTGATTATAGCTCAAAATACGTTTAGCAGCATTCCTTTGATGAACTTTGATATTGACAATTTGCTATCAGATTTAGAGTATAACCCATGCCTGCAAATAATGATGACAAATCTGAAAAAGAGAAAAAAGAAGAGAAAAATTGCAATTATAGTTTCTAATGTTGAACTCACTCAAAGAAATGAGGGAATGATTCCAGAAAGAACAAAATTATTAAACAAAGTTATTACGCTAGTACGCTATTACGATGAGATGTGTCCTGCATATAGTACTTTCTCTTACATTAATAGTATTGTGATATACTGATAGAGAAAAAAAAACTCTTAATGAGGTAAGAGCAAAACTAGAGAATGGTCAACATTAATGGTTTTGGCAAAAAGGCATGAAATAATGGTGAAAAAGTATATATTTATCAGTAGCATAACAGTTAAGAAAGATCTACTTTGACTATAAAAAGACAAATAAGTAATTGAAATGATAAAGCCACGACTAAAGGAATTAACGATGTAGAGCTGAAGTGAATGATGTGAAAAACAGTAAAGGAGGAATTCAATGGCAAATCAACGACGTCAAGAAATATAGTGATCTAAAATACTAACATATTTCAAAAGAAGTCTGTAATAAGAAAAAATAATGAAAAGAGAATCCTAAAACAGGCAGCATTTGTCTATAGTTTATAGCAATGGTGGTTTTCCAATCCTGATTTTCTTGCAGAACATGTCTGTTAAAGATTAATTTTTGTGATACATTTGTTTCACATTTTGATATTTTTGTTGAAGCATATTATGCTTCAAAAGGGCAATGATTTTTTTAGCAGAGCTCCCGGAGCACCATAGCTAATGAAAATGGTATATCCATGGTATATCTGTACGCATGTTTCCTTTGGTCTTCATGTTTTTTTGAAAGCACAGAAATATTCCTGCCAATTTTGTCGTAACAATGCCTCTGCACTTCCGTGAAATCGATTTGCGAAAAGATGAAAAGCAATTTATTGTCGAGCGTTTTTAGGCCCACTTTCAGTAATAAGAAAAAAGGAAAACAGATGACATTCTGCTCTGATATTTCAACTGAACAAGAAAAAGATGATACTGTATTGGCAATACTGCAATAATATGTGCAAAAGCAATGATCTCTGTGAACGTCTTGTCGAAAAAGTGTGGAAATTTTGAAACCAAGAAATGCCAGCAGAACTGGTTGAGAAAAACTTGACAGAATTACAGTGTCGTAAATGACTAATTGATAAAACCTTGGAACAAGTATGGTTCTGTATACTAACTTATGCAGGCTCTAAAACTACAACAGACTCATCTAAGTAATACAAGCAGAGTTCTACTGAGGAAAAACCGACGATTGGAAGCATATTATAAAGCGGAGAAGATGAAAAACTCTGTGTTTACAGCCTGTCATGTGACTATCAAAGTGAGACTGGCTTGCTGATGATCAATTTTTTCGAATTACGGTCATCTCGCCCCAATATTATATATTCGTTAGTTCACATTTCAGATGTTATTTTTGTGATTCTAGCACGATGTATTTGATTTATTACATATCAGGAACAAGTCTTGAATTCACTTGCTTGTTTTGACATTCAAGCGGCAAGTATACTGTTGCTGTTGTTGTTCGATCGACCGTTTTATACCGTAATACGCAGACTTTAAACTGAATCGAGCTTTAGTGTGATCGAGATTAGTAAACAAACCAGCTCTCCATATTCGCCATTTATTAGAAATTTATTAAAATGTCACGTTGTGTCCTGCAAATCATGCCAAATTAATAAATGATCCCTGATGGCCGACGCGTTTTCCATATTTTCGAGCATTATAGTTACAGGTGTAAGTTTAGTGTAGCGATGCCGTTTTCCAACTTTTGGCAAACATAGACATAAACCCAAGAATCATGCTCGAGTTCGAAACTCCAAACAGAATCTTCAATCTTTTTGTTTACATCAAAAAATGCAACTAGTTTCTTTAGTTTAAGAAGGCAAGCCTTATCATACTTTTCAAAATCTTAGTCTCGATTATATTAGTCGCCATTACAGTACTGATCACATGACAGTCTCTCACGTGGTCTCCAAAAATTATGTTATGTATTGATAAGTAGTTATTATCCAGCAGATGGCTGATCTTTTATCAGTAGAGAGCATTATATATTTTATGAATAAAATCTTAAGAACCCCGACCCTTTTATACGTACATGTACACTAGCTAATATGGAGCAAATGAGAATGAATTGTGGAAAGATGTAATAAATTGTATCCTTCTTGAAGACATGAATATTTGACCTGTTTCTAATATAAGAGATGAGCTTGAGACCTTTATGCATGGGCATTTATAAAACTACATAATATATGAGATGCAAGGGAGCTGTTTTAAAGCCCACAAAAGTCAAAGCAAATATTTTATATTGCTCATTAAATTCCAACATCAGCTAAAGCTAAAAAGCTTTCAAAATAAGATAATTATCATTTTTAAGAGAAAATCGACTTTGAAGTCTTAAAAACTTTTTATCTCAAAATCGAAGTCAAAGGGATATAATCACACACTTATTTTACCTTTTCAATCTTGTTTTGTTTAAGCAAAATGATATATACTTTCCAAGGCTGGTCTGACCCCATCACAGCTGTAGAACAGGTACTATAATGTATATTTTACCACAAATTGTAAATTTTCTCAATTTCTGATTGGTTGAGATCCATTGGTAAATAAAAGTGCTTCATCTTCAACCTTTGCGTCTCGATCGCTTGACTGCCAGGAGTTTTTGAGCGATGCCAAAAATTTTCGCTTTTGTCTGTTTTGTGTGTGAATAGGTTCTTAGCAGTGTTGAGATTCAGATTTCAGATTCATTTGCAATTTAGAACAGATACAGTCTGAAAGAGCATCATTTTTGATTTATAATTATCATTTTTTTACAACATTGTGTGAACACTGCGGACTGATATGATATGATCCAAATGCTGTAATACAATATTGGGACAACTTAGAATTATTGGTATTGGCACATTTAGTGTATGTGTAAAAGATGATAGTGATCATGTACTAATTATTGTTGTTCCAGGCTCCAGCTATTGATGTTGTTGGAGTTGGTTTGCAAAGTGGAAAGATAATTATTCATAATCTAAAGTTTGATGAAACAGTAATGTTCTTCCAACAAGACTGGGGACCTGTCACCTCAATTGCATTTAGGACAGGTATGACTGCATCATATTCCACTTATCTGCCTGTGCATGTATTGGGGCTCTATATTTAGTATTCAAATGAATAATGAAAATCCTTTTGTGCCAGCCCCATATCACATTATATTAATATTATACATTATATATTGTGTCTGTATAAATCAAACCTTAATATGCAATAGGTGAATTGAAACCTTTGATGCAAAGTAGTGCAGGGAACAAATTGAATATTAATGCCCTGATTTCACATTTTATGTATAGTTTACAACATGAGCGGCCACGTTGTATGGGAATTACAATCCCATACAACACGGACGCGAATGTTGTAAACGACTTATAAAACTCCAACACAAATTAACATGAATTACAGTGAAATAAATGACGAAAAATGACAAATAAGGTAACTGCTGAGTTTAGTCCCTATTAAGCATGCGCAATTTACTGCAACACAGAACATTTTGAATAATTATCCATCCCACATGGAAAGCAAGCCATCTGTTGCATAAGCCAGTTCTGTTATCCGTCTTTGATTGCTTCAAAACCTAGTGAAGGTCTATGATGCGACACTAAAACTGAGACCTTTGCTAGTGTTGGGTTGTCTCAAGGTGACGACCGTGTTGTAAATCTTATACAACACTAGTGTTGTATCACAGTGTTGTATCTGATTTACAAGGTCAATCACCTGATGAAATGGACAACCCTTATTGGAGTAATAGCTCATGCATTATTAATAAGTTTTATAAGTATAGTTTACAACATGAGCGGCCACGTTGTATGGGAATTACAATCCCATACAACACGGACGCGAATGTTGTAAACGACTTATAAAACTCCAACACAAATTAACATGAATTACAGTGAGATAAATGACGAAAAATGACAAATAACTGCTGAGTTTAGTCCCTATTAAGCATGCGCAATTTACTGCAACACAGAACATTTTGAATAATTATCCATCCCACATGGAAAGCAAGCCATCTGTTGTATAAGGGAGTTCTGTTATGCGTCTTTGATTGCTTCAAAACCTAGTGAAGGTCTATGATGCGACACTAAAACTGAGACCTTTGCTAGCGTTGGGTTGTCTCAATGGTGACGACCGTGTTGTAAATCTGATACAACACTAGTGGTTGTATCAGATTTACWAGGYCAATCWCCTRATTAMWYGGTCAGCCCTTATTGGAGCAATAGCTTATGCATTATTAATAAGTTTTATAAGTTATTTTAACAGGGTCAAAAGATGGGGGTCAGCCGATTTAACTGAAACTTATACCATTTAAGGTGGATCACAACTAATGAAATGCAAATTTTGAACTTTTTTAGCTCGCTCGTTTCGCAAAAGTATTTAGTAAAACGTGCTAAAATTTTGATATAACATGCAGTGATTATTGCAGTTTTCAGTATTTAGTAATTTTATGCAGATTAGTCAGGGGGAAGATAGCAATAGAATTCATTTCTTTCATGAAAAAAAATTAAATTTATAAATTAAATCAATAACAATTTCAGTAGCTTCACAAACTTGACTTGTAATTATTATTATTCTTGATATCAATGCGCATTGAAGATAAAAAAATTTGATAAAATGTTCACGTTTATCTCCTGGAAAGAAAAATAAATTTATTTTTTATTTTTTATTTTTTAATAAATTTATTTTTTTTCCACGAAGGAAATGAATTCTATTGCTATCTTCCCCCCGACTTATCTGTGTATTTATGTAAATATTATTCAAAACGCAATGAAGTGCGACATTCGAGCTTGTGTGACTTGCCAAAGTCGCATAAATTATATCAAGCGAGGACCAGCATTCGGTGTATACCAGAAATAAAAAAAAAGATTTTCTACCAAGATTGGAACGCAAAGCCTATAAAAATTACAGCAACTATTAGATAAAGGATTGAGCTATTAGTACAAGGAGAATAAGAGAAATCTCTGGAGCCGTTTCGAAGAAAATGGACTTTTCGTGATTTTTTAACAGACCGCACAATTTTAGCTATTACTCATCTCTAGTAAAAATATTGTAATTCTTTTGATTTGAAAGGTATTGAACTGAACTTAACACACACTAATTTTGACAAATTGATGTACAACATATCGCAAGATCATGGCAATCGGTTGTATATTTATTTATACACGGCTGTTTGTTCTATGTAGGTCATATTTTGGGCTCATTTTTGAGCCGCGTTCATATCTTTATTTCTGCCCAAGTTTTTCCAACCAAATTCATAGCCCTTATGTAGTTTTATGAGATATACAAATTCTAAAAATTTCAAGATGATCCGACTGTTAGTTTTAGAGTAAATCGTCGAAAACTGGARTTATCACTGTTTGAAAATGCGCTGTATATTTAAAACCAGCCAAAACATTACTAAATACTGAAAACTGTCATAAACTGCAATAATCTCTGCATGTTTTATCAAAATTTTACGTTTTACTAAATACTTTTGCGAAACGAGCGAGTTAAAAAAGTTCAAAATTTGCGTTTCATTAGTTGTGATCCACCTTAATAGGCTTCCTATAAAAATACGAATGGCCGAATTTGAGTAGCCTGCGTGGCGGCTCTAGGGGAGGGGGGAGGGAGAAAACGGAAGGGGAGGGGGTGGGTAGGCGGAGCGGAAAAAGGCTTTAAATTAAGTAGAGCAAGTTTTCCCTGCGAGAGCGGCTGACGTCCTATTAGTTGCTTTCGGCTGTACCCTCCCCCGCCTCGTCTCGCAATTGTTGAGCAATGTCCCCCGTAGATTTAAAGTGTTTATTGCCTTTTGTTAGAAATAAGCCAATCCACTTTGAGAATACTCTCTTCTTTTGGGACCCCTGTGCCTCCGGACGAAATTAGTTATAGTCAGCATTACTTTAGTCCGAATAATATTAGAATTCAACGGCCGATAAAAATAACTTCCCGAAAAGCAATTCATGGACGAAGAGCTTCAAAAGAATCCTTAGACATTCGTGTTTATTGTGGAGCAGTTAAATGTGGACAAAAGTATGGATTTTGACAAAAAAATCGAGTGCAAGTAGAGTTACTGTTGGAAATGTTTGCGCGCAGTTTCCGACCTTGTATTAATATAAGTAGGTTAAACAATGGCATGTCCTCTTAAAAACGAAAGATTTTCAACCAGGAAGGTAAGAGACGTTTTATTTATGTTAGAATAATRTTATTTAGGCAAAARTAAAAARATAGAAAAATGTGCGAACGACATATTTTATACTAAGTTATTGAGGCTGGGTTACCTGTGCTGGAACAAGGGACTTTTCGGACTTGTAGCGCGCCAAATTTACCGGTCGAGTTTTCAACCGGTGATGTCATCCAGAACGCCACATGAAGCAGGCGGTGTTGTTGTGTTGTTGGTGTTGTTGTTGTTGTTGTTGTTGTGGTGTTGTTGTGTTGTTGCTGGGCTTTCATTTTGACCAATCATGTTGTGCCATTTCGAATTTGGCGGGAATCTCAAAAGCGGAGATGGCGATATACCTGGCACTATTTAGGAACGCAAAGTCTCTGTCTCGTATTTTGTATCGCGAGACAGGCAAGAAAGTATATTCGTAAGTCCTGACCTCGCTACGTCATATTTATTCGAAAGTTTTTCCAATGACTTCTCCCAAAAATGATTAGAGATGTTCATAGGCTTGATGTCTTGTCTGTCTCGCTTGTCTTGTCTGTCTCGCTCGTCTCGTCTGTCTTGCTTGTCTCGCTTGTCTTGTTTGTCTCGCTTGTCTTGCTCGTCTCGCAACGTCTTGTCTGGACTTTCTTACGGTGTTAACGTTCGCCAAGGTTGTAAGCCAGTGAGCCCGTGCATTTTTGTTAAGCGGTCATATTTGAAAATCTAAATAAAGGAGAGGGAAAACCCGCAGCTCTCCTTTCACTCAGATAAACAGTACAAGTCGTGTTAAATTCATTTACATAACTAAACAAAATGATTATAGAATTAAACCTTTAAGAATTGAATGCTCATATGAAACATTTTCCACCTTGAATACACACGTGTTTTTCAGATGGAAATTTAGTCGAACTTTTTTCACGATGGAATTTTGTTTTGAGTCGTTTCGACATAAACAGTCGCTATCAAGACATTACACGAAAAACCGCATGCAGTCACCGTTCTAGCTCTCGTTGTAAGGTCAAAGCTAGTAAATGTGTAACCGACCTGTTACATAACGTCAACTCGTTGTGTCGTCGAGCATGCTTGCGGGTTATTGCCGAAAATGCGACAAAGGATGAACTACGACAGTTGTTTGTATGAAACATAACAAACGCTTTAACTCTATTGGAATACATGGAGCTAAGCTGCTCTAGCTCTTTCAGTGATGTTGTAGATACCTCAAAGCTTTGAGGAAACAAGACCTAAGAAAAAGGATTTGCAATGGTTCCTCCATGACTTGAACGTCGCTGCAACGACCTTCTTAAGTCTTCGTGAAGTCGGCCATTGCTTCGCATGCAATGGAGAACCCGCGTAGAACACAGACTAATTATTTTTAGCAGGGAGGGGAGTCCCTTGGTATAAAAGAAAAAAATTATTTGCTATTTCATTTTTAAGATAAAATTCTATTTCTATAACAATAAATATTTGATTGACATTTAATAAAAGCTATTTTATAAAGATTTTCAATTTGTCTTTGCGTTTTAGCTTTTATTTTTCGGATAGAATAAACTGGCAGGCAGCCCACTCCACTGGTTCGAGTTTTGTTGTGCAAATTCCTCCGGTCGGGGGGTTATGTTTTCAACATAAGCTTGTCAGCTTTGCGCTGATTGGCTAGTCGCATTTTCTCAAATCACCCAGGAACAACTTTTGACGCGAGCGTCACGTACCTCTCTCATAGTCAAGGTCAACTTCACTTTTGAAATATTGACAGTTTTAAGATTGAAAACGTCAATTCCTTTTTTGCATTGTTGCAACATTTTATGATGTCAAACAAAGGATTGTTGCTTGGAATTGCAAAACATGAGTGTCATTCATATCGCTGCGTAAGGTATGTTTGTGCTTTCTCGTAATAAAATGAACTTAGTTTTCTCRCAATTGCTCGAAAAA